TATGGGCCAGTTTTCCTAAAAAACAGGAGATTCCAGTCAACCCGAGTCAGCTTGATAAGGAAGTGCCCTCCGCTAACCCTGTGAGGACAGTAACTGCTGCTCTCGCGATGTCTGCATTGAACTGGGGCGGGCCGTGCTTGGCTCTCGGAGGCCCGGAGGGTGTTCGGGCGGCGCCCATCCCCTCGCCCAGGCCTGGCGGGCCGGTGGGGCCGTGCGCGGCTGTAGGAGGGGGCGGCCCGGGTCCTCCCGGAGGCAGGTCGCCCTGGTCAGCCAGGATGCTGCAGTCACCCTGGCGCTCAGTGCCGAAGGCCGCCGGGGACCCGACAGCCTGCGGCCCCAGCGTGAGACCTAGGCCTCTGGGCATCTCGGACGGGGTAGCCGTGGGGCACGTCAGGACTTCTTCGGTCTTAAGTGACTTATACAAAAAGAAAATGTGTTAGCAGGTCCGTATAATTCGCAGGTTTGAAGGAACAGTGGCTTCAGGTACTGCCGCATCCCGGAGCCGTGCGCATTCTACCCTACTACATTTCTCCCCTTCTGTCACCCTGTTTGTCTGTGTCCCTTATTACTTTCACTTGCCACAGGGAGATTTTTTCAGTACAGCTGGCAGAGAAGGGCACTGGGACCTCCCAGTTCCAGGTCCTAACAGAGGACAGGTTCTCCTATGTTCAGTTCTTCATGTGACCTACACTGAGCTAATCACAGAGAGGAGAAGCAGCCTTCTAGGGACACATGGACTTGGGAGGAAGGGGTGGCAAAGAGAGGCATTCACTGACTCCATCAGGCAGGTACTGGGCTGCTGACTCAGGACACAGTCCTTCTGGCCTCAGGGCCTTTGCAATTGCTCTCTCTTCTGCCTGGAAAGCTCTTTACACAGCTGTGCACAAGGCTGGCGACTTCGTAATTGTCAGAGCTATCTTCCCTGTGTTGGTGTGAGCAGGACTGAAGCCATGTTAGAACCTAAAACCGCCTGGGCTGGGGTGGGGGTGGGTGGGACATTAAAAAGGAAAGTTTTTTTTTTCTCTCTCCACTCTTTCTTCCCACCCCCAACTTTGTTATCTTGCCCGCTAAATAGGAAAACGGCGGAGAAGCTAATCAGTACTTTGCAACTCTAACAGTATTTTCTTTGAGACTTGTGGAGTTTTGAGAAGTGATTAAGGCCAAATGACCGGATGCTGACCTTGGCCACCAGCCATCAACCAGAGCTCTGCGAAGTGAAACTATACGAAAGACTTTGCAGAAGAGTTGATTCTACTCCAGAGCAAATCAAAATTTTGCAGGGTCCTGAGATAAAGCAAAGATGAGAACAGAAACCAGATGAGGCCTTGGCGAGACCTTGCACCTGTCTCCTAGACACAGACCCCTCTAGCTCACGTCCCCCTCTCTCCTGCTTTTCACTTCCCACGTTCCATTCTCTCAGCCCCCTCTTTAAAAACCCCTCAGTAAATCTGAGTCTTGGAGGTGGCTTTAGTCTGGCCACTCTCCTTCAGGTTTGCCGGAGAGAAGGGTTAGCCCAGCATCTGTTCTCAGGTAACTGATATTCCTGAAAGCTGACTTCCATTTTCACCGACATTTGACTTTTGAATGGTTTGCTTTTGTCTGGGGCAGGCAGCCAGACCTATGAGTTTGGTATCAATTTTGGGGAGCCTCACCAGGAGCCAAGTGTGCCCTATAACACTTGGGCAACTTACCTAATGTAGAGACTCAGCTACCTCCACCCCCTTTGGCTGCTCAGTTTCTATCCATCTCCTTCAAGATAACAGTACTCAGAGGATGGTATTAAAATCTAAGTTTCACGGCCCCTGCCGTGCATGGGACCTTTCCAAAGCTGCTCTGAGAGCAAACCTAGCACAGTGTTTGCGTGGTCATAATGGTATAGCAGGATGTGTGGAAGTGGGCTGTGGCAGACATTCCAGACCCACTAGGATGGCTATTATCAAAAAGACAGTTCACTGGGCCAGCCCGGTGGCGCACTGCTATAGTGCGCCGCTTGAGAGTGCGGCGGCGCTCCCGCCGAGGGTTCGGATCCCACATACAGACCGGTTCCCGCTCACTGGCTGAGCGAGGTGTGGGTGCGACACCGAGGGTTGCGATTCCGTTGCCAGTCCCGGTCCGGTGCGGGTGCGACACTGAGGGTTGCGATCCGTTGCCGGACACGAAAAAAGACAAAAATGAAAAAAAAAAGACAGTTCACGTATCGAAGCCTAATCTCCATTGAAAGTGTCAAGAGGATGGCAAATCCAGTTAGGACATTTGAGAGGTGGGGCCTTTCAAGAAGTGATTGGATTGTGAGGACTGTGCCCTCGTGAATAGATTCATCCATTCATGGAGGAATGGGCATGGTTCTGATGGCTTTATAAGGAGAGCGAGGGAGCATATTAGCTCCCTCTTGCTCAGTCCCTTCTTGCCATGTGACACATCCTGTGTTGCTGTAGAGTCACCACAAAGAAAAGACCCTCACCAGATGTGCCCATGGACTTTGGACTTCCCAGCCTCCAAAACTAGCAAATAAATTATTTTTCTTTATAAATTACTCAGTTTCAGGTATTTTTTTATAAGCAACAGAAACAGACTAAAACACTCAGCATCCTGTGGTTTACCTAGCAGCCATGCCTGCAGCCTGTTGGCTCTCCCACACTCACCCGTGTGCCCACAGACAGCTCTCTGTTTAGGAAAGAGAACTGCTCAGAAAAAGACCTTCCCAAACCCTGAGGAGCCCATGCCACCACCCGAGTCAATCAACAAAAAACAGGAATCACTAGACCTTAAACAAACCAGAAGCATGTAGTTATTCCCGGAGGAAACACAATAGATGAAGTAGAAGAGAATTTCTGAAGAATTCTAATTAGTATGCTCTAAAAATTCAAGAAGATATGGCATCCATGACACAGAACAGATAAAGGAACCTCCTGACACAGGAGCAATCAAAAAACAAAGATTTATTGGGGCCAGCCCGTGGCTCACTTGGGAGAGCGTGGTGCTGACAACACCAAGTCAAGGGTTAAGATCCCCTTACCGGTCATCTTTTAAAAAAAAAATAAAAAACTAAATGACCCCCAATATACCTACTGTTCAGGTTATGAAAACCCACACCCCTGGTGCACCAGAAACTACCCAGTGTGCCCCTCCCACCACATGCCGCCTTCCCGCCTCCTTCCAGGGTGACCACCGTCCTTACTTTTGTAGTATTTATTTCCCACCTTTTTATAATTTTATCCTCTGTGTATGTATCTCTAAAATAACGAATTAGTTTCTCTTGTTTTTTCACTTTATGGGAATGAAGTTATTCTGGGAATATGCCTCTGATGGCCTGCTTCTTACCTATTAGGTGTGTCTCACTGTGTGGTGCTCCACTGTACGACACTGTGCCAGTGTTAATATCCATTTCACTGTTGCTGCATATCAGGATTCTTTCCAATTTTTGCTATTATGAAAAACGCTGCTGAGAACATTTTTGAATGTCTCCAGGTGTACACATGCAACAGTGTCTGTATGATCAGGGCTGTGCATATGTTCACTTTTACTAGGTTATGCCAGACAGTTTTCCACAAAAATTGTGATGTCAAGGGAGAGGGTCTGGGAGGTCCAATAGCTGGCTTCAAGCCACCCTGTCCTCTTACCAGGTTCTTGACTCTGCCACAGGAGAGAATTCAACAGCAGGGTCACAGTAGAAAGTAGGAACAGGTTTAATTTAATGAATAAGAGATACAGATTTCACAGAGAAAGTGTGGCCTAACTCCAGAGACTGAGCAGGGCCCACACCAAGTTTAACACAAAAGTAAGAAAAACACACTTAAAGTTTAGCACAAAGTGCGGGCTGGCTCCAAAGAGTGAGCAGCCACTTGCTGAAAGTAAGTTTGATAGAAAAAGAAAGAAATAACACACTCCACAGGCAGTGTGGGCTGGCTCTCTGAGAGTTAGCAGCAGCCCGACCTCCTGCCGGGATTCCACTTTTATAGTTTCACTATCTAATACATATTCATACTATCTAATGAATATTCAACCAAGGCGGTGGTTCCCAGTTATGTAATCTGGTCTTTTGCAAATGCTCAGTTGGTCTCTTTTAGAGCATGTTCATTGGTCAAATTCTGTCACAAGCTCTGAACATATTCAAGAATATTCTGTGTTCTTCAGCACCTCTAGTGAGAGTTCATTCCAACGATAAACCGCACTTTACTGAGCATGCTCAGCTACCAGGGTTATATAACTCCCCTCTACTGAGCATGCTCAGCCACTGGATTTGCAAAAGCCAGACCCTTGTGGTCTGGATTTCCTCCTGTTGGTGCCAAAAATACATTCAGCAAGCAACAGCAGCTCTCCTCTAGGGGAGGGCTACAGGAAGGGCCTCAGACCTCAGGAAGTGGCTTGAAACCTAGAGGTGTGTTCTGTAACCCGAGCCCAGGGAAGCTGAGCACCTCCTATCTCAGTTGTACCAATTTACCTTCTGCAATGACTTCTGACACTAACTACCCAAAGTTAGGCCAGACGTCACGGGCTGAGGGCACAGTCCTCACAAGACTGCCCTCACTCAGACACCAGACACTAGTTTGGGGGTTTTCAGGGCCCACCGTCACTTCTGACCAACTAGCTACAAATTTGGGGGTGCTTGTTTCCCCCTCGGGTTTGCTAATTTGCTAGAACAACTCACAGAACTCAGAAAAGCACTATGCTTACAATTACAGTCTTTTTATAGCAAAAGAGGATTCACACAGGGCAGCTGAAAGAAGCGATGCATAGGGCTAAGTCTGGAAGGGTCCAGGCACAAAGCCTCTGGTGTCCCCCTCCCAGCCCAGCAGTGTGTGACCATGCACACCAGGGAGTTCCCCTGAGCTTCAGCACTGGGGTTTTATTGGGGTGTGAATATGTAGCTGTGGTCCATGGACTCATTGGCCATGTGATTGAACTCAGCCTTCAGCCCATTCACTCCCCAGAGGCCAGGCTGATATCACAGAGTTCAAAGCCCCAGCCCTGTAATCCCACGGTT